GACCACTATTTATTTTCAATTTTTTTTTTTTTTGGAATAGCATAATGTAACCAACCAATGCTACAATATAGAAAACTATATTTTCCTTTCACTGTGAACGTGATGCCTTGATGGAAGAGAATATTAGTGTTTTATTTTTACTGGAAGTGGAAGGAAGGAATAAGAACCACATTAAGGGCCTTCAGAAAACTCCTAAATCCATAGTTTTTCCATCATCATCATTTGGGATCTTTGGACAGCCACCACAGTTTGGAATCTATCTACATAAGTGACTCACTTTTGGAATATTCCAGCTGTCACTGATCTCCCAGAAAGACATCTGAACAAATGAAAATACTGTAGCATCAGTCTGATTGCCACAGCCAGAGAACATCACATTAATAACTCAGTTTTATTGCAAGTCTCAAAGCACTGCTGATACAAATGAACTTTGTTCCTTTGCTTGAGCAATCCGCGTGCCTTGCATTTTTGACACAAGATCTTTCTACTACTGATAGCAGAAAAGTCAGTACTAATTGATAGTACTTGACTATATGAATTCATAGAAATTCACACTGTTGATACTGCTCAACATTATAGGTAGCACTTCTTCCATGCTTGTTCCTAGAATCCCCACATTACTGCTTTAAATCAGGAGTCTGAAAGCCAATTTCCAGATATTTCACTAGAGAAAGGACTTGAACAACAGTTTTGACAACAGGTGAGAATGGCAAAAAGTGTTTTGCACTACTGCTTTCAGCTCAGCACTGTATAGCTGCAGTTCAGAAATACCATTTAACTATTCTGTAAGCTGACAAGGTACCTTCATTTCAGAACTGTCTTCTTTATGCACAAAAACATCCAAAATGCATCACATTTAATGCACAGCTGGCAGTGGGGGAGCTTTTACAGATTTAAGTTACTTCAGATGATTAAACAGCTGATTTACGACACAGACACTATTTACCTCCAAACATTATGGAGGGAGGACTTCAACGTTTGTTTGCCGTGGCTCCAATTTTGCTTCAATAAGTCAATTGTGGGTGGAAGTAACCAAGCAGAGAGCAAGATGCCAAGCAGAGGCCTCTGCAACTTGGCCCACGGCGCACATACTTGTTACGGTCTTCGGTTTGTTGTTCTCATTTTAATCCCCTGTGCTCCTAGCATCTGCAAATTGTTTAGCAAATTTAAGTCCTTCATTTATCTCTTTATGACCCAGCTTGCTTTCCTACAATACTTTATCATCAGATCTGTAGATCTGCCATCTTTCCACTCTCGGGTTTAATGAAGCTGGATAACAAATGATACTACTTTTAAGCAACTGTCACCAAGAAACTGTAGGTATCGGGAACAGGCACACTGCTTATTTAAAATACTGCTGCCACAAATGAACAGGCAGTATGAAACACTAACAGTATGCTTGAAAAGCCTTTAAATATAGGCATGTATTTAAATTTCAGCCATACTATTCTGTCCCTGGGAGCTACTTCCTTAATGTGGGTTAGTGGCATGTACTAGTGGGATGTTAACCTCACTACAAAATATTTAAACTATTTATCTTTTTTTTTTTTTTACTCCAGCACAAAAATGGCAGCTAAATATCAGCATATCATTATGTTCTTCAGCAAATTTTCTAATACACACAAAATATCTTTCTAGAATGTAGATTTTATGTTCATATGATCATTTGTCCTTTGCTTCAGCTTACATGCCAGCTTTCCCTGTAGAAATGGGCAAAGATACATACTATTACAGAGGAGACAAGGACACTTTTCTGGAGAATGTGTTAGAGGACTATTCTTAGCAGAAACCCTAGACAAACACTGAAAGAGCAGAGGAGAAAGGTTCAGAGGCAGCCCCCCATTACGCCTTAAAACAAGAAGCACAAGCAGAACCAGAGAGATTGAGAGAGGGAAGCAGAAAGGGCCTGGAAGGCAGAGAAGTGAGGAGGGCCGGTCCCTTGCGTCACGTTTCAATGAGTTGCACATTTCCACACAGCTGTTCTGCTTCAAGCAAACAGCCTAAGGCTGTCTCGGGATGCGAAGGGCTTTCCATTGGCTTTCTCTTTAACATGTTTTTGGCTAGAGAGGGGTAATCTGCCACTGAGCATCTCTATCTACATAACCTAACGAACTAGGATTATGTCTCACATTACTAAGAGCAACAACAACAAAAAGAAACCCAAAAAAACAAAAAAGACACCAAATCCCCAAAATACCACGTATTTCCTCCTTCCTCCCCCCCCTCCCCTCCCGCCAAAACACCTATTAATAAAAACTTATTAGGAAACAAATTCCCAGTCTGAAGACAGATTTCTTGCAGGTGGCCTCATGGCCATGTCACAGCACATCCCGTCTTGCAACATGAAGTCCTCTTGCCTTGCGAATTTGCTCTCCGCTTCCCAGATGGTTCGCAAAAAAAAGAAAAAAAAAGAGTCCCATGGAGTCCTGGTTAATTCACTCGGCTCCCACCATTTCTCTAGCTCTTCCAAGGGCTGCAACTGTTCCAAGGTAAGCATGAAAACCCTATGCGTACTTGCCATTTGATGTACTATGTAAGTAAACAAGTCTCTCTTCTGGAAACACATCGTGCGTCCAACAACTGTGTAGGGGAGATTAGCCTCACTTCATGCTGCCTAATTTATTTCAGACCTTGAGCAGCTTAAATGGCTTAATCGGTCTCAGCAGCTGACCACTATGATTTGATGACCACATATGGCCAAAAGCAGGGGGAAAAAGAAGGCTGCATTTGGCCCTATGGGCAGTGAGGGCTTTTAACCACGTGAGCAACAGGTGAGCAGAGCAAATCTGCCTGAGAAGCCCTGATGGGAGTTGCAGAGGCAGGGAAAGCAAGGTAACGACATTGCTCTTCCCTACAAACTTCTAGACAAATGGGGAGAAGCCAGAATTCTTCAAAAGCATCATTTTAGTGACAAACTGGTCAGGGCATTGAACCCACAGCAGCATGGGGCACAAGGAAGTACTGGACACCAGGCACTCAAACAGCACAGGAGAAGGTGCTTCTTGACAGACACCACTGTGAATGCTGCAACCAGGCAAAACCTAAAGGAGAAATTTCCACTATTTAATATTTGAATTCCCAAAGCTTTAAATCTGCATTTATCTTGAATGAAAAGGGCAGAGTTCTTTCTCTGTAAGCTAGAGGAATGACAAAAGGAATGGGAGCTCACTGGTGGGGACAGACTGCATAACTGATGGCTGAGAAAGGGAAAGCGGCTGGATGTTAAAGAATAACTGCAGAGTTACAGTAAGACTTATTTAAAGTTACCAGTCATCTTTCCAATATGGAATTACAGATTTTTATTTTTCCTCTAACAAGTGAAAGAAAACATAGAACAAACAAGTTATTCGAGGAGATTCACCAAAGGGGATTAAAACAACAAACAACAGCAGAGAGGAAGAAATGGCTTAAATATGGTAACATGATGGAAAGATAGTTTTTGTCAACCATTAAGTATAATTTGACATGAATGTTATTTCTGGCAATAAGTACCCATAAATAGCATCATCAAGCACATATGCTGCTGTGCCAGAAGAAGCCGTTGCCAATTAAACAAATATGGTCCTTTCTTCTTCTCGCCCTTCCCTCGCTACACTCGACTGCTCTATAATAAGAAAAGCAGTGCTGTCTTTTAACTAGTAGCAAAATACTTTTAAGAGTACCTTCCTGAGACTTATTACAACACGGGTCAGGTAAAGACCCTGAAGGTTACTTAGGACAAAAATCAATTGTTCATGCCCTTTGGGGGACACAGGTACCTTAGAATTTATTTTGATTTCATTCCTCCTGTTCTGCAGCCCCAGAGCACTGAAGAGTCCATTACAACTTCACCACCAGAGAAAAGCAGCATTTACCCGGACCTGAGACCTGCAGCATTTACCTGACCCAAACCAGAACTACCCTTATGTAGCATCAGGAGCCAAGAAATCAGAGACCTCTCACACTTACTGACCATCAATAAGCAAATGAAATCACAAATTCACTGAAACACCATGATGAGTGGAAAGTCTTACCAGCAGTTTGCCTTATATGTGTCTAAGCTGTTCTGTCTGGATATACCAGAGTTACCTTTTGACAGATAAAACTAAAGCAAGAGTTTTTCTAAAGTAAAGGAAAACAGGTGTAGTTTGGGGTAGAAACTAACCATGCTTCAATACTTGAGAACTAAAGGTGCTTCTGAAAGCTCAACTGAGTTAACTCCACACAGCAACAGCACATTGGGGGCAGTATTTTTCAAAGCTATACAAGACCATTAAATAACAAAAACCTGTAATAAAACAAACCCTAAGGTGAATTATCATCATCAAGGCTTTATGTAACAGGCTTTAAAAATGAGGCTAATTGCAAACATTAGACTTGTAAAGCCATTTTATTACATTTAACTAACACAGGCAAAAAAATAAATAATAAAGTGAGGCTTGGATGCATGCTTACAAACATATGTTAAGGATTTCCCTTTTGACGTAAGTGAATCAAGTGCTTTGAAACTTAACGTGAAGGCTCACAACTGATGAAGCAAGTCTATCTGAATGGAAATGCACTGGTTGGCACTGTAGCAGGTCTCTTCCTTTTTGCTGCGTTAACCAGGGGCAGAAGGAAGGGTCAGACCGTGAATTATATAGAACTGCATTTCCTGCTGACTAGCCCGGGTAGGCAACAATGCAGAAAAACTAGCTTGCTCTAAAGCCAAGATTTAGATGATCTCATGAAGCAACATGTATCTGCTGTCGCTGACCGAGCATTTGTCTTATAGCATCCTCCCACTTCAAGACCTGCTTGGAGCTGTCTCTGCCTCTTTCCAATACAACCACAAGGCATTTACAAGAAGCATTTAAGAAGTGCAAGTATCATTCTCTAAGTTTGTTAGAAATCGGGAGTCTGCATGAGTGGGAAGATGGTCAGTAATATTCCTCAAGTGAATGTGAATAAAAACACTACTTTGCAAGTAACACTGAAAGGGGCTTTCGTGGCACTGTTGTCTTCATTGGCCATCACAAGCAGCTAAGTCCAAAAAGGATCATTCAAAGTTGTCAGGTGTACATCACAGGCTCTATAGGGAGACAAAAACTTGCTAGAATTGATTATTTTTTCCTCCAAACTTCTTCTATTGGTGCCTGTAGATAATTACTTTTAAGTGTCCAGTAAATCCAACTTTGCTTTAAATTCAGATGTTAACTTGGAGCAGAGTCATTGCCTTTTATTTGCTGAAGTTGTAATACTTATTAACTACATATATCTTAGGAGATCATTAAAACAGTCAGACTTGCAGATATGTTACATCCCTTGAAGAAGTCATTGGTTATTTTGAGTCATAGGTAAAAAAAATATCCACTGGGTCCAACAGTATTCCAAAAAGATGAAAGATGTGTTCTAAAAAATAAAAAAAACACCTTTACATAAAAAGAATGACCATATAATGCAAAGCAACACTTGGAAATGCAAATGCAATAGTTTACAGCCTTTAAACTGAATAAAACTTTCCCTTCTCACATAATGATTGCCAATATGTGACTCAGCAAAGCAATACATCAAAATGTGGACTACGTCTTTTTCTTTTTTTTTTTTTCCTCCTTTCCCCCACCCCAAAAAAGTCCTATAACATCCAAGCTGTCACACTACTGAATGGATGTGCTTCATTTACTCCTCAGTTTATTGTCAGAAGGCCCTTTTGAAGTCTCCTAGTAGCTGCAAGGAAGTTTGCCAGTTTACCATAACAAAATTCCTTTCTAAAAGCAGATTTAAACTGCTTTAAACTCAGTCAATATTCAAGTCTCAAGAAGAAAAATAGAACACACTTTTTCTTCCCCAATTATTTTGGCACTTCTGCAAAGTGACTAGAAAAGGGTACTCAACATCATAACTTTACACTGCCTTCACAGAAATGCAGATAACTTTTAGAGACAAGTCAGGAGGGGCAAAACAACAAAACAAAAAGCTCCATCAGTCGATATGCAACCTACTTATACAATAGAGTGTTCTCAATCTTCTGCTGGCATGCAGCAAAACACCCTGCATCAGCTGATAAACCTCACTAATATCATTATGCACAGAAAGGAGCACTCGACTTGGAATATCCTCTCTAGTGTACTAAAAAAGGCCAGTACTCACCAAAGTTTTTTCAAGTCTGAACTGAATATACTCCATATTCTTTTAATAGGCGTGGGATAGCTCCACGTGACCAATAAGCACATGTTTCTTTGGGAAATTCCTCGATGAACAACGTTACACATGGAATTCTGCTTTTGTGACCACCTCTGGCCTGTAATACCTCTGACAGCAAGTTATACTTCCTTGTTAAATAAATCACAGCTCGTTACTGAGTCATGGTGCTTGCCTCCACAAGAAGCAACAATGCCATGTACTAAAAGGAATGAATTTTTCTGCCTAACAGCACATTTTTTTCCATGCACTACTGTATTCATCACTTATGGTTCCTATGTCATATTTATCTCATGTAGAGATCCATAGCCAACATTTGGATATGCCTTAATTCCTGCAGACTGCATGCCACCACTCTGAAGGGACGGTCAAACTCTGCTCTCACATTAAAGCAATGCCTCAGGAGACACTCTGAACAAAACTGAGGCATTTTTGGAGCTTTATATTTCTTTATGTATAGGTAAATAGGTATGTATGTATAGGTATATATATATGTGTAGCTTTATATTTAGGGAACTGGCCAACAGTTTGTCCACTGTGCTAATCAAGAAAAGTAAATAAATCTTCATGACTACTGGAAAAAAAGTAAATTATTTGCCAGGTTCTGTGCAGGCATGACCTCTCAACATGAAAAGCAAGACTCTGGAAGCCAGAGGATTAAGTTTCAGTAGCTTTTATATTTCCTTCACTGAAGTACATTTTCCTAGGCAGCCTATATATGGTCAGAGAGCATTATCCAGCTGCTGCACATACTGTAACACAGGTCTCCACACTAACACAACTCTGTTGCTTGAAGCAACACTGGCCAATACCTGAAGAAAAGATCAAGATGGGGTTTACTTGCAAGAAACAATACTGAAAAACAAGTATCTTGCTTTATTTCGGTTCACGTTCTGATGTCCTACCTCAAGATATTTTGTGACATCGCTAAAATAAACTAAATCAGTGATGTGACTTCCCAGAGTAAAATAAATGCAAATAATCACCGCTGCTTTTGCACTTCAAAATTGTACTTTTTAATTTCAAGATATAAAACACAAAATAAGGTCACAGAGTACAGCTGTATCTTTATACTTAGCTCATAATTTTTTTTTAAGATTGTCAGTCATTTAATACAAGAAAAAATAGGAACAATTACATACAGCTCAATTTGCTCAGTTTAAACAGCACAATGGTTAGTGAGTTTTGCTAGCCAAAGCCATCAAAAAGATTGTGAATTGATTTAGGCAAAGTATCATTTAAAACCAACTACTCAATTTCAGCTTTCATCTAAGCAAAAGAACAAACACTCAGTAGAGTTATTTTGTGGGCTGCAATATTTATTAACTGCTCGCTCCTGGATTTACTGGCGCACTTCAGAGAAGGTCGAATCCGATGCAACATGTCAATGCAAGGTTGGATGATCTCAGAAAAAAACTGCTACAGTCAAAATTTTGCTACAACATTTCCATAGCAGCAGTGTCAATTAGAATCCTAACTAATAAATAAATAAATAAACCTTTTCAAAAACAATAATAAGAAAAGCCTCAAATCTCAGACTCATGATTGAACTGAAACCCTGAAGTTCACATGCAATCCATGGGTTCCATTTGAAATCCGGTGCAAGACATGAGCTCCTGTCCCATTCCTTTTGTATCAAATTGATATAACTGATACAAACATTAACTGGAGAGAGATTTCAGAAAGAACTGATGGCTTCCAGACTGCAAAGTCCTAGACTACGAGATCCTCGTATCTCTTGGTCTCCTCTAGGAAATGGGCTCATGAGGACAGCTCATAATTCAGCAGAGCAGCCCCAGATTTTACTTTTCCTGGCACACAGTCTTCCGTGATCGTTACACCCATGGATCTGAACCTAACCTCAATGGGAAGCACAACTTGGGATGACAACGTAATTGCGCAATTACGGCGACCTGCTCACCGTCCAAAACAAACGAGCCCCAAAGAAACCAAAGGCAGACAGAAAGCAGCTGGCTGTTTCATGAACCACAGCACTAAAAGTAGTGGAATAATGCAAACAGGATAGTGATTGATGGATATTTTTCTAGTAATATTAACCTCTGCCATAGAATTTGTCAACAGTTAAAAGCAGCATGCAGATAAACCTTTGCGAGCTGGTGCTCATTTCTTCCTGGCCCACATCTTACCCTGTGGTAACATTGTTCTGGGAAAGCAACAGCAACCATAGACGTTGTTATTCACCATTTAAATCTAACCATGTAAACAGAAACTTTATTACCAGGCAACCAGAGTATGTTAATAGTTGCTACCGGTTTATTGCAAGTCTTGGACCATAGGAAAACACAACAGGCATCGTATCTCAAGTCTCCTTCAGCTCCATCCCGAAAGAGAAACTCCATACAACCGCTAGCGTCTGCTAAGGTTGAGCCTAGGCCGAGCTCAAAAGTGATTCCTTCGTGCTAGGTCCCGTGAGGAGATAGCTAATTGTAACCCCTTGGCCAGCTGCAGCCCGGGCTAACTTTGAATTGTTGTCCTGGGACCAGGAAATGGTGCTACCAGGTACAGCCTCACCAGGGAGGAACAGAGAGGAACCATCACCTGCCTTGGCCTGCTGGCAATGCCCTTCCTCATGCAGCCTGGGATGCCATTGGCTGCCTTTGCCACCAGGGCACGTTGCTGGCTCATAGTCAATGGGCTGCAACTCAAAACAACCCCTGCATTACAGTGTTTTCATCTTTGCCATCTGAAATCATCTCAAAACCAACCTAAGGCTGGTTCTTCTTGATTGAAAGGTACCCTCCCAGCCAGGTCAGGGAATTCAAAGCCACAAGAGAGATGCCAGCAGATGACTGTTAGCTCCCAGTGTGGCCATGGAGATTTCCAACTGAATTGGATCCATTTCTGAGGAAGGGGAGGAAGTTGAAGAATCCAAGCAAATGGTATTCTGACCTTTGCTCTTTAGAAAAACAAGCTATCCCACACAGAGACCCAAAATGCTGGGTGGCACATACAGCATTTTTGTACAGAGCTTTGTTCCTCTCCTGCAATAACACTTCAGTAACTGAGAAAGCAATATGTCAATGAGAAGTGTTATTATCATCTACCTGGTGCTACTCACTCACTGAGGGAATTCTACTCATGCCTCTCTTTATGACTCCCTTTACGGAGTCATAATGCACTTCTGTGAAATCTTGGGAAAAGGCAGAACTCTCATCAGAAGAGCAGGACAGCAAGACGAGGTACCATGAGAAAGAAGTGCAGGGCTAATTTATGGTCAAGTCAGTGAATGAGATACCAAACAGACCTTGTTGCCAGAGTTTTGAAACATTCTTTATTGTCAAGAGACTGGAGGTTTCTGCTCAAAAATAGCATGGGTCTCCAAGCACTGGGCAATTTGCCAACTCTGAGATAATTATCAGTACTAGATTATGTCAGTACAACCAATAAAAGACTTTAATCTGAGCCTTCTGTATATGTACAGCCTCAAAGATACTTTTTTTTTTTTTTTTTTTTTTTTGGTGAAGAAGTTGCATTTAAAAGGCATCAGCACAGCTTCAACACTGGCATTAAAAGCTCTCTTTTCTAGAAACATTTCTCTAGCCTAATCTAATGAAATAATTCATCTACAAGCGCAGGCAACATTTATGGAATCTCTATGTGATCTTAAAACAAGAGTCATTGTTTTTCAGAATTTGTAAAACAGATTGGTATTTACTTTAAACACTTAAGTGCATCTTCTCTTGTTTTTTCTTTACTTTTTTTTTTTTGCAGAGAAAGCCTGCTGTTTTCACAGCTGAAAGTAATAATTTCTATACACAAAACACTTCCAAATGACAGATGTCTGATTATCACCATTATTACCTTTTTTTTGTTGGTTTTGCTAAACAACCCAAAGAGGGTAAATGTGAGCAAAGACATTTTTATAGGGGAAAAAAAAAAAAGAACTTTTCAAAGAATTTACGCTTTTTCCAAAGACATAATTAACACAGTTCACATTTGACACCCTAACAGTGCAACAGTGCTCTGTTCTTGCTAAGATGGGCAAACAATATCCATACGCTTAACACTTGGAAGAAGAGCATAAGCATCTTTCAAAATTCCATCTACTGAGCAACAACAATCACACTTTTCTCAATAAGTTTAACAAATTACACACCAAAATAACTTTTTTTTTTCCTGAAGATTCTTAAAGACTGAATTCTGTTAACTAAAAAGAGTAGTGCTGATTTTAAACAGGGCTCTTCCTTTGT